CCATCAAATAACGTATATCATTGATTAAATAAATCGTTTGTATGTCGGCTTACTGCTGCTTTTCACTAGATCTGTTCGTGCAGCTAAGTGGCTAACATGCTAGCCAGTTTACATGCTATCACAGTGGAAGCTACTGCACGTTGTCTGTAAAGTGTGGGAATGGATACTGATGCATAAATATGTCTCGGAACAGATGCTGATGCCCAAGAAGAATCGCATTGCTATCTATGAGCTCCTCTTCAAGGAGGGAGTCATGGTGGCTAAGAAAGATGTCCACTTGCCCAAGCATCCGGAGCTCGCTGACAAGAACGTGCCCAACCTTCATGTGATGAAAGCGATGCAGGTGAGAGACCGGGGGATGGGGGTTGAATACTGACGTTGTAAAAGTTTGTATATGTATGTGAACACAGTCTGACTCGAGCTCTGTAAACAAGCAGTGGTTAGTTTCTCGTAGAGCCTAGGTCACACAAGTGTAGGCCTCATCTGGCTAGCACTCAATGACCAGTGTCATGATGCTGTATTAAGTGATACTTTGCACTTACATAACTAGGTTTGAGATTGTAAAATATCGAGCAACTTGTACATGGTTTTTATACTTAAGGCTCCGGTTTTAATTGTCTACAACCTCCTTTGTGCCCCTTATGTGTGTGTAATGTATATGTTTGCTTCACCATTCGTTTCTCTTTTTTAAAATGCCAACAGAACCACTGTAAACATTTTACCATCACACTCTGGTTTAGTCAAATTCACTGGTTTATCTTTTTTTTTTTTTAAATACACTGTACTCAGTGCATGCTAAAACATGAGGGGTACAACTGGGGTTAGGAGTCAGTGACTTCTGATGGCATGCACATGGATAAGAGGGAAACATGTTGTATGGAGCTAAAGTAGCCTGAATTAACTTTAGAGTAATGCAAGCGTGTTTATATGCTCGCGTGGCTGTAAGATGCTTTTCTAAATGGAAAGAGAAAGGGTGACGCTCAAGTGTTAGTGGAGTCCTGTGTGTTGTTGCTACAACTCTGGCAGTTTGGTCCAAGTTTAACTTTTTACTTGGACTACAGAACCTAATGAGAATCGCCTTTGTAAAGAAATGGTTACTGTCTTTCTAAGGGTATTTCACTTGAGCTATTTGTTAGAAACAGTTGGTTTGCGGGGTGAGAAGGGATGATAAAATACATGCAAGCAGGAGAATGGCAGGTTAAGGACACATTGCCTGAAAGGATGGACTTGGTGTATTTACAGTAGAAGAGTTGCATGAAACTCACTTTGTTTGTGTTTTCCCTCCAGTCCTTGAAGTCCTGTGGGTACGTCAAGGAGCAATTTGCCTGGCGTCATTTCTACTGGTACCTCACCAACGAGGGTATCCAGTACCTGAGAGACTTCCTCCACCTGCCCCCAGAGATCGTGCCTGCCACTCTGCGCCGCCAGACTCGCCCTGAGACCGCCAGGCCCAGGCCCAAGGGTAAGCTCCCTAGAACAATGTTGCTCGATGTTGTTTTAACGCTCTTTTCAAAATTGGATTGTGGAATACTGGGCCGTGATCACTATTTATGTTGCTTTTGTGAAGCTAGTATTGGCAAATATTACTATAAGTTGTATTTAGTTTTCAAAGTGTATCACATTAATTGCACACTGCCTCTACATTTTGGAAGCTGAATAACAAAAACCACAAGTCATTAGCCTTTAATGTAAATCTGCTGAGTGGAAGCATTCCTGAGGGATTAACATCGTGCAGCCGAAAGGCCACGGCTCAGTGTTCAGCAACTCTGACATTTCCAACTGTTTTTATTAACCTTATAAGACCGCTCATTACTTTTAAACATTTTATTATAAAGTTTAGAAAATGCAAATCCAGCAACCAATCAAGTTTCAATAGAATGTTCTGCTAGCTTAGTACGAAGGGCTTGGGGTTATACGGAGATCACAAGCCAAATAATCACCGTGGCTTCAGAAGTACAAATGTCGGGTAACAACTGAAATGTGGTGAGCAACACATGTGACCCGCTCTATCCAAATCAGTCGGAAGTCGCAACGGCTCATTTGAAAATAAACGTGGATTTGCGTACAAAAAATAGTATTTCGGTTGTCTTGTTTGATTTTAAATAAATAAAGTCTTGGCTTTCAGAATATGAAACTTTTATTTCCAAAATCACACAATAAATACATGTTTGAAGCTTGTAAAGGGACGAAGACAGCTCTCCCTCGCCACTCTGCTGTTCTGCAGCGCCTCCCTCCGGCTGAAACTATGAATGTAAGAGTATAGTAATCATAGATAACACGGCAGGGTCCGTTACAGTTTGTTTTCATCTCAAATAAACAAAGTCTTGGCTTTCAGAATATTAAACTTGTTTCGGCGAAATCACACGATAAATACAACTTTGAAGCTTCGGCATAATTACAAGCGGAGAACGGAGTAACTTGACGTCACAGCAGGCATAACTACAGCCAGTGTTTCTCGTGAGTGTTTTCCCCGGGAAACAAACACAATACACACAAACGCAAAATTACACAAACACACACACGTGACCAGTCCCTCAAACCAGTAATCCAAACGAAAATATCTTCCCTCCGTACTACTTTGATCATTTGCTAATAATCAATCAGATCGATGGATTCCAGAGAAGAGGAAACTTTGAAGGCCTTTTTCTCAAAATGATGACTCGTGACAGTCATTATATAATGTGACATATTTAGCTTAATATTTGGAGTACAACAACAATCCAGATATCATTAGAAAGCTAGGAATCTTCTCTTTCCAGCAGTGTATACAACTCAAAATGTGTCTTCAGGTCAATGCGACTGATTTCGATGGAGCAGGTCACATATTAAGAAGCCGACTCCTATTATAATTATCCAGGTCTCCTAACATAAATGGTAATCCTTGAGAGGATCCCCCAAAGCTCTGCATCACTGTGGAGTCTCTGTTCCGATGACGGGGACTTTTCTGTATGTTTTATCTGAAATAGTAGGGTTGTTGTTAGAGGAGGGAACGGGTGGTCTCAGCGGCAGTTAACAAGAATTTGAACATTCCATGTGTAGCTGATTAGGCTCAAAGTTAATATACAACAAGTGTTCCTTTGTAACTTGCGTTGTAGTTGCATTGGACATCAACTCAAGAGCAGACACGTGTCATAGACATCGCATTACTGTTTGAAACACAGCTCTAAAAATGTCTCACTGGCAGAATGGGTTTCACTTATAAAGTGCATTTTCAGAGCAATATTTAAACTATTATATTTGACATCACAAATGTTGTTCCCTAGTTTGAGTTTAAGTGCAGGATGTTTGTGATTTCTTGCAACAACAGTCCATTCTGGGATTATGTTTCCCACCCAAGTGTAAAAGTATCTTTTTAAATGAGTGAAGGGGTCCCTGACACAACATCTGTATAAATACGGTACTGACACATCTCCCGCTCTAAAGTGGACTCAATTTCCTTGGGTGTGCAGTCAAATGTCCTGAACCTAATCTGATTTCCCTGTTTTATTTCTGCAGGAATGGAAGGAGAGAGGCCCGCCCGCCTTAACCGCAGCGGAGAGGCTGACAGAGATACATACAGGCGATCTGCTGCACCCCGTAAGTACACTCCTAGCAACTCTTTGGAATGAGCAGCAGAAATTCAAGTCTTGAAGGCAAATAGAAATGGACACTTAAGCTAGTTTTTGTGTAACTTCAGCAATTGATTCTTAAGACTGAAACCAGTAACGTCTTTTGTAAGCAAAGTATTACAACAATATACATTTAAGATAACTTATTTACCTTGGGTAACTTCCTCTTAATGTACGTAAGGGTTCTCATTGTGTGTAATTGTATTAGTTTGTGATGGCTGAGGTGAAAGATATAAATGTTTATGGCTGACTGTTCATTCGTCACTCCTCCATCAGCTGGTGCTGACAAGAAAGCAGAGGCCGGTGCAGGAGCTGCCACAGAATTCCAGTTCGTAAGTACAGAACACATTTACCCCCTGGGGTATTTCCTGTTATGGCATATTAGGAACGTTTTCTATAGCAATCAAACGGTCAGCTTGTTGGTGCAGTTCTATTATGGAGAGCTGGATTTAGTTTTAGTGCACTAATAAAACGTAGTTCTGTTTGACACTCGTATTGACAACATTGTTTCCCTTTGCAGAGAGGTGGCTTCGGGCGCGGCAGAGGACAGCCTCCTCAGTAATTTTCACCGTCTCTTTCTGTACAATAAAGAAAATCAAAATACAACCTGTCTGTGTCCGTATTGTCAGGATTGTGGTAGCTGATGAGCTGGTTTCCAAACATTCAGATGTTGTTTTATGCTGAGCAGAGGAAAGTCATCTAGTAGAGAGCAAAAATAAATCCCACTCAATAATTATTGTAATTCTTAGGTCATTCATAAGTGGTACACAAGTGAGTTATGGCGCTGTCTTTATTGGTCAACTAGGCTTCAGCACATGTATTGTTCATACTCATTCTGATAGAACAGTTTTGGTCGTTTTTATAAAAGAGCAACATTACCCTGCAAACTAAGAATCACATTACCGATTCAGAGAACAGAAAAACAGTTTTTTCCAAAATATGCAATAGTATTGTTGTGATTCTGGAGCTGGATAATATTCAATCAATGCTAACCCTACTTCAAATCAGTATCTTACCTTTTGGGACCAAGTTGGGGCCTCTAACCAAAGCTTTAAAAATGTTAGTCACATTTCGCTGTAGGAAATAACTCAGTGGTTTTCTAACCGTGCTCATTGAATAATTTCCTGTCTACAAACACGTTCTCATCGCAAAGATAAGCATGTATAGCAATACGGATTGAGAGAAGTGGGGTAAGCAAGCCTAATAGCCTAAAAGCTTTTCTTTTTAATGACTGATTTTAAATGCCATTTTCTTAATCTCTTTCATTTTTTGTAAAGCACTTTGAATTGCCTTGTGTTGAAAAGTGCTATATAAATAAACTTGCCTTGCCTAATACACAATACTTACTTGTACTCTTCCGTAAAGACATGGACACAAACATTGAAGCCAGCCTGAATGTGAAATACTGGTGTTTATTTGTTGGCACATTTATATTACAATCTTCAGTCTTCTCGCACTGGTTTTGTTCCAGTCCCAAATAACAAGAGGAGAGAAAAGTTCCAGTGACAGGTATACCTTGGAGAGGAGATCAAAATGACGGTAACTTCAAGGCTGAGGTCAGGTGCATGCGTGTTTGCTTTGTTTATCAATGTACTAGTATTTAGGGTAACCTTTAAAAAAAACAGCTTTTATGAATCAATAAAGGAAACGGTTACAATCAGCTGAAGTGATGTGCTTTTAATAGGTTTTGCTTTGGCCACAAGATGGGGCAATTTCAAACCTTTAACTTTGGTCAATTCAAAGGAAGTGACTTAAGCTCTAATCGTTCTTTTAATAATTCATTGTCTCCTTTCCCCTCAAATGTTTAGAAGCTTAAATGTCACAAAAAGGAGACAATTGTGATCGAAATCTCCCTGGAGTAACGTATTAACTCCAACGTGCTCATATGGAGACATGTACTTCATAGATGTCCTCCTGAACCCTGGCCCAAATCACATTACCTATGACAGGAAGTGCTTGCATTTTGAGTGAGAAGGGAATTGTAAAAAAAAAGAGAAAAGACTAATCATTACTGACCGAAGCCATGGTGCGTCCTCTTGCTGAAACGGTACTGTTACCTATATACAGATATTTGTTTGACAATTGCACAACAGGTTAAAGAAAAACTGAAAATGATGGATCAAGTGGTTATTAACTATTGCGTCACTGGCTGTTACTGTGGAAGTCCTCCTCACATTCATTTTGACAGTACCTGTCACACGCATCCAACTAATTCAATCATTGCCAATCAATCAGAGAAAGGTTTTAGATTTCTTTTTAAAAAGCCATATACAGGTTTATCCCCTTGACAACCGTTTGCACATTTCAATGAAGACTGAAAACAGGAACTCTGATGCAACTCTCATAAAGCAAGACTTTGGACAACACACCTTCCTGATGCACAGCAATAAAACAGTCCAAAGTCTCCTTCTGTTGGGAGACTTTGGACTCCTTCCACATGTACTGTCAGTCAGGAAGCGTTTTCCTTCAGACACCAAAGGGATCAGAAGCTTGCAGGGTGGCGCCCCCACATTACTGGAGACGGCCCATGAATAAGACACCACCTCCATCCTGCTAAGAGACGTCTATTGGAGCTTTCCATCCACTAGTTTTCAGTTCTTTACATTTCTCCTGAGGGATTTCTTTGATGTGTCTTGATTAAATCATAATACTGGAGTTTTCTGCCCACATTCGATGTTAAATATGCATCTGCTTAGCGTAGAGGACATTTCCGCTTGGTATCAATAAATGATGTCTTTTGTTGCCATTGTATAAAGGAGCTGCTCCCATGAGTCATAGCATTATAAAACCTGATCACTGCTGCAGTCTGAGCGCAGACAATGTAATCATTGGTGGAGAAACGGAGCTTAAAAGTGAAGTAAACATTGGATTATCAGATAGACACAAAGCCAAATGAATTGTTACATGTCTCCATATATGCCAGATGTGTAAAAGAAGAAAAGCTACCAACACCTTTGCGGAAAAAATAAATAAACGGATATGTGGATGTTTACAGATCTTTGCTGCTACAGAGTCCACATCATCTTTAATAACAGATTGAAATAAGGGGCAGAAAACCCCAGCATCCTGTCAAAGGAATAGAGAAAGACCCTGTAAACCCTTCATGAGTAAACACACTGACCTGGGATAGGTTAACAGCTAACAGAGTAGATCTCCTTTACTTCTAATTGATGAAGTGATTTGGATTCTCAGGCTTCAGCTTGGCCATAGAACAGCTTTCCCTAAGTGTGACACATGTGTTTTAGTCCAAACTAAATGAAGGATTTTGAAAGAATTCAATATGAAATTGGCTCTTCCAGACACCAACAACCACAGGCCTTGTCCTGTAGCCTCAGATGCACTCTGAGCTATCTCTAAACTAACTCCCGCTCCAAAGCCATGAGTTCAATCAGTGTTCCTGCCTCGATTGAAATGTCAGACTCACAGATGTGAAAGAGGTGTTTAGTCATTTGTACTCTCACCTTTGATCTATACAGAAATAAACAATTTACAATAAAAACCTCTAACATGCTATCTACAGCGCCTCCAGTTTCACAGTATTGAGCCGGCTGCCTCGGGCCACATCGAGTGACGCAGCTCGGCCAAAGAGACTTTCGCCAGGCGTTAGAGAGAAAAACATAAAAACAAAAACTAGTATCCAAAAGCATTTTACATGTTAAAAACGAGGTCTCAAACTGTACAAGGCTTGTTTGTTCTGCATCAGCATTATAGATTCCATTACTCTTGATGTCAAGCAGGTGTTTTGGGGATGCAGATTAAATACTACAAAGGGTAGGGGAGAAAGAAAAGGGGAAATCATGACCATGAGTTACCTGTGCTGTTACGGACACAGTGTAAACAATTGCTTTGAACCAAACTGAATGTGAGGAGCAACATATGGAAATGGTTTAAATAACTTAAGTGATATGTGCTGCATTTTGAAATTACAAGTCCATGATTTTTTTTAAACCTACTACCTCTCAGTATGTGGAGGAAGACTTCAGTCCGTCCCGAGAAAGAAGTTTAAAAAAGAAAAAGGGATTAAAACGGAGGTGAAGACACTGAGGAGAAGGTGGTTCATTTGACATTGTATGTTGACATTCTTTCTCTCTTGACAGTATTTGCTCTGTTGGAGAGTGAAACCTGTAGTGCTTGGCTGGCTTCCCAAATATGAGAGAAACACACATGACGGTTGAAATTGGAAAAACTAGCGAGGGGCCGTATCCTACCAATAAGAGACATCGATAACCACGATAAGGAGCTAAATGAAGAGGAATCCAAGAAGACCTTACCACACGTCTGTTACAGTCAGCATCAGGTCTCTCGAGCGAGACACAACATTACAGTGCTCATGCAAGACAAGTCACTTCCAACAATCCTGTCCATTCAGATACAGACAACACTTCCTATCCTTATTCACAGGGAGGGGTACACTAATGAGCACATCCATTCAAAAGAAACAGAACTGAGGAGGAGACTTTAAAAAGACCACCAAGCCTTCAGCTTAAGCACTACGTATACACTTTTACATTACAACAGTAAAAAGTAGTTCTTGCATTCAATTAACACCACGCTAAGGGCGCGTTAAGGAAAGAGGATCAGGGGACATTTCATGCAGTTTTCAGTAAAAAGAGAAAAAAAAAAAATGGGGGTTCAAAAATTACATTTACATTTACAAAGTGTTTCAGACTATTCACCCGACACTTGTCATCAAGTCTGTGCCACAGTGCTGGCACAAAGGAGTTGGCAAGGCAAACCATGTTATTGAGACAGAAGAGAAGAGAGAGAGGAATAGAAGAGAAAATGACACGAGTAAGAGCGCAAGTGGTGGCGAAAGCTCCCGGAGGTGTCAGTTATGGTTTTAGTTATCTGATACCCGAGACCGAGCTCTGATTGATGCTGTAGGTAGGGGACAGGTCCCCGCCTAACGTGGTCACCAAAGGCGTTCCATTACTGGTCAGGCAACTCTCCTGGAAAGCCTCGAAGTAGGTGGCCTGCACGGGCTTGTGACACTGCAGCACTCGTATGGCATCGTCTATTTTAAACCATTCCCTTTTCCTCCCTGTAAACAAAACAAGACACCATTGTGGGACGAGTTAGGACATGTGAGAGACAACACAAGAAGACAAAAAAACTCATGAAAAGATTTGAGTTCATATCAGGATGTTCGCAGAGTGAATAGTGAAGAGGGCAGAAACAAAGCTTGTGTTATAAACCCTCCCTCCCAGAACTGTAATATCACCAAGGCCTGGGCTACAGACAGCATGTGACCGACTGAGAACTCTGTCCGTATGATCCCCGTTTTTTGACCAGTAAACAAATGCGGTGATTTACCAATGTTGACCGAGTCCTCCCAGTCCTCCAGGTGCTCTGTTACAATAAGAACGTAGACGTAGGTCCTGTGTTTCCTCTCCTGGTTCTGTGGGCGAATAAACATCATGTTCTTACTCCCAAACATGATGCACAGCATGTTGACATTTGAATACTACAAAAATAAATGGTGGGTAAACAAACCTCACCTCAAATACTCCAACTAAGCGCCCTAAAGTCCCCTTTACACCGGCCTGTAACGAAAGAGGAGGAGGGGGATTATTAAAAGGGTAGCAGATAAACACCTTGCCGGTCTGATATACAGAAAAGGGTTAGAAAACATCACATGTACTTCAGAGTGATACCATCAGCCTGACGAAGCACACTGCATGTTTGAACTTTATAACGTTGGTTCAGATTGTTATTCAGAAGCTGGTTGGGTTGAAGTGGATTACATTACATCATAAGATTGTTTTGTCCTCTGAAAATTAATTCCATCTAAATCCTGGGTTGTTGCTAAATCTGCCGTGTAACACATTTAACCAAATCCTCAAGTCATGTCTTGCATGTGCGGATTCTCTCTTCATTCATTTGACAGGTCAGTGCAACAGTAGGCAATACACTGGCAGTCTGAGCTCTGGACAGACATTGGGCGTCTCAAGGAGCTCGTTGGAAACCTGGGTTTTAAATCTGCCACTTTTTGTTTGTCTTCATTTGGTCTAAAAGAAGGTTTGAAAAGGGGGAATATGCCCGATATGCAACAATGTCCTGTTTCCAAGCCTGACGTATTGTTTTGTCAAACCAGCAGTACAAACCTAACGCTATTAAACAAACAACTATGCAAAACAGAGGAAAAAAGCTAGGTGTCACATCCTAAGAAGCAGGACAGGGCAAAGGCGTTTTTAGATAGATACTTTATTCATCCCAAAATTGGGAAATGGTTTTGTTCCAGCAGCCGTGTCAAGCATTACACGAGTCAGACATGTTGAGATATTACTCAAATAGAGTTCATGTTATTCCTTTGCAGTTCTAAATGATACAGCTGTAAACACCTCTGTTCACAATCTGAACACAGGCTGCTCAACAAGATGTTTGAGTACCATCAAAGATTGTGTATAAAGGTCACTAAACACCAACAGAACAACTGCTTTGCTGTCAGAAGCTGCTACTCTTCCTAGAACTCAAAACACCCAAGCCATCTCAATGTCACAACATTTCGTAAAGATGACAAACGTTCCTCGAACCTTTTCTTGTTACATATTCTGAAAACAAAAATAGCCTCCACGGTAGATCTTTACTCCCAGAGGTGGATACACTAGTAGGTCAGGTTTAGATGCAGAGCCCGGCCACTTGCTGACATCTTGGCAGCATCTTCTCCAGGTTCCAGTTTCAGTCTAAAAATAACTGCTGACTGACTTGCTGTGCTGTGGACTCAGGAGTTGGTCTCTTCAGGCCTTCAGCAAGACCATGTGTACAAAGAACAAGCTCACCACCACTAGGAACCACAGAGATGTGCCAGGGATTAAGTAATAGGCCACACGTCAACCTGAATGTTTTGAGATGGAAAATATCTCCCAACTATAGTTCATGTAACTGAGAACTACTGTGCTACATGTTGGGAGAGGATGGACAGCGTTGAGGCTTCACAAGTAGAGCGTATGACTACAGAGAGTTCCCCAACAGTCAGACAGAGGAAGCGACTCTTTGGCCTGCTCCTTTTTAACTGCCGTGTTTTTAATGCAATCCCTGGCAAGGCTCCAAACCAATAAGCATAAGCAATCTCTCACTGCTCATGTGGTCATCAGAAGAAGCTTGTTAGGATATGTCCTGTTACACCACCGTCCAATAAGAAGCTTAGAAAGCCACAAGACGTGGTGATGCATTGAGTACCACTCAAAGTCACCACAATGTTTCTGAATGGGGCCTTTTAGCGCTTTTAACAAACATCACTTGTGACGCGACAGTGCTCGTGACCCTGTGGCAATGTGTTGGCAGGCCGCAGCGCTCTGCATCGGCCGAAGATACCAAAGAGCAACAGCCAGGATAAGGGATGATATCGGCAGCATCCGTCAGTGTGATGGATCTCACACGAGAGAAAGCCGCTTTATATGGTCGGTGCCATGCCAAGAGCTGACAGCCACGTGAGATTCTGTGTCTTCTTCACTGCCCTTTCGGCCATTCTGATCAAGATGCCTACGCGATTTACACAATTGACCACAAGGGTATACATGATTTTTAAGGGACGGACGCCAGAGGTATAAGCCATTTTATTGATTTCCAATGAGCTTCAGAGCTGTTTACCAATTTCTGCCTATCCTCCGAATCACAGACAAACAATAATAGATGCATGTTGCCCTTCAAACTGCATCGGTAACAAGGCTGCTGTTGCAAAAATAGAACCGTCTGAAACAAACAAGAACAAAAAGCAGATTGTTTTTATTTGCTCTACTTTATGGGATTTGATAGTTCTGCAGTAAAACCGCTGGGCAGCCAGTGTTCAATCTCACTGTGACCTCCTTTGACACATAAACACTGCTTTGTAACACGAGGCGAGGATACAGCTTAGATGTTGCTAGGCTCTGTCTCTGTCCGTGCAAACAGGATGACTGCACTGACAAAAAGGACTTTGAGAGCAAGGTATTAGGCCCAGTGTTAAATACAGAAAGGATGAAATACAATACATCTTGTGTGCTTACACGCAAACTACATTTCCGAACTGAAATAGGGAGTCCATTCCCGGAACAATATTCCTGGCTATGAACTCTAGGAAGTCTATTAAGGTATGTTTCACAGATACAAGGATCAAATCAAGTTGGCCTGAGCACAGTGTATATATAGGAACAGTATCAAAGAAAGAAAATTGGCCGCAAAATAGCCTTAATTTAGATGCATTTATTGTGAAAAACAGTTAAAGAACTAACCTCTTCACACACTTCTCGAGCAGCAGCAACATTGGGCTCCTCCTCAGGCTCCATTCCCCCTCCAGGAACTATCCACTTGTCAGGATGTCGACTACTGCTTACCAGCAGCACCTGCAAAGCATCCAAAACAAAGCTAGTCAGGCATTAGCGAATGACTCGATGTTGATTGCTAATTGTGCTTTTATTGGTGTGTTGCTGCTTGAGCAAGACTATGTATAGACGGAAGAGCCAAACCCCAACATATAGCTACCTTACAACTATGACACTGAAAATGAATTAAAGTAACCTAGGGAGAGTTGTCGAGCTGGATATTGTTGAAAAGCAGTTAACTCACAACATTCCCTATAGCTAATGTAGGACTCACTGAGTTTGCTTTTTTCCACACAAGTATGGTGACTTCATGGTGACAACAATCTGCTTCCACAACATCTGAGGCTTGGCTGAGTGCCTATCTGGTAGATACACTCTGGAAAAGTTTCTAGCTAGGGGCCAAACTGATGTGCTTCCTGTAATCAACAACCCATGTTCACAACCTGGCCTCTACTTTAACGAGAATGAGGAATTAGTTAAGTCTCCCCACCCCTGGTAATACTATTTCCACTACAAAGACTTCTTTGTGTGTGTGTTGTTGACTGGACATCAGACTCCCCAAATCGCCTCTGATTTAACAATAATATGAAGGATACTTTGAGAGGTTTTCGTGGGAGAGAGCGCACGAAGAGAGCGAATGGCACATTAACAGAGTGGATATACACCGAAATAGCTTTTCGAGTTTGTCATTAAGCAGAGCGGACTAACCGCATATCACCACATATGCATTTCAAATATATTCAACAACGTGAAAAACACTGATGTAAGATAGCCGACTGTTGCTACCGGTGGCTATACTAGCACAGCTAATAGCTACATATCAGTCCAATGTTTGGCTAGCAATACCAGTTGCTTTAACGCTATCACAGTAACCACTAACAGTTACTTAGCTCAACAAACCATGTGTGACAGTAGCATATACATATCTTAGCTTGTCACTTTAGAAAGCAGTGATTTACATTCACCTGAGTCTCATAATGATAAAGCCACCACTCATCACTGTGGGCTGTGGTCGCTGGCCGAGAGCCGGCTGCCCACAGTAGCAACGCGACTAGTTAGCAAGCTAACGCTAGCATTAGCATACAGCTAACAGGTGGACTAGCTGTGTATAAAACCCGGGGTAGGTGTATGTACATTAAAATAGTCTTACATAACACTTCGGTAAGTACGAGCTTAAACAAGTGTTTAATACAAAACAGCAAAATGACAATTCGAGAGGTACAAAAACTAATAAGACATTTTTTCCAGCTGACATAAAGCCACAGCTGTGTTGGTAAATGAACAGATTTACTGTAAGCAGCTAATGCTGCTAATGTTAGCTTGGCCCTCCATACAGCCACATCCCCGGACTTACCTCTTCCTCGGTCTCGCCCCTGAAGCACAGACAGGCGGCCCGCTTCTTGTAGCCATCCCCGTCGTACGTCCGGGTTTGGTTAGACTTGAGCTTCATCATTGTTAAAGCGAACAAAAGTTCAAAAGTACAGCTAAGTTTACCACGTATAGAGACGATGGTTGTAGACGCAAAGTCCTCCTCCTGGGAACCTCGGCGTTTCACTTAAAGAAATAACTTCTTCTTCGCTTCATTTTCACAAACCTAGGCACATATACGGCACGGTCGCCATTACAAGGAGCCGTTACGCCCACAACGTAATGTACCCTTTATTAGCTCGGGGAACGTAAGAAAACGAAGCACCAGACGTTGAAGAATTGGAGCAACGGAAAGAGAGGAGGGGGAAAGGCAACACCACGCTCTGACTGGAGCGAGCCGGTGAGGGGAAACTGGCACTTTTTGCTCCAACGAGCTTGTCACGGACACTTGTTTGAGGTTCATACGATTAAGTAAAATTGTCCAACTGAGCTTGAAGAATAAAATATATCGTCCATGTAGTGTCCCGTGAAAAGTACATGATGTTGATTAATGTTGGTTTGATTAATACGTTTCAGCACTGCAGGTAATGGACAGCGCCAGCATGAGCCTCGAAACTGATTTTATAATATTAATCAAATGGTTCGCAACTTAGCTTAAAGTAAGACGAGTTCGCTTTTGTCATATAATTAAGACCTGAAACAATCATTAATAATTTTATTTAAAAAACCTTTATGCCAGGAAATCCAATTGAGATCAAAACTCTCTTTTACAAAAGTAGCAGCCTTACAAAATCACAGCGCAGACAATCAAATTACAACAGCATACAGAGATCACCACATTCTTCATGATGTACCATCATTTATCAATGAATATATTAGGCTTAGGGTTTCAAATTAATTGGATTTATTTGGGAATTAAATGAATTATTGAGAAAATAATAATCTATAAGGAACATACATGCTCTCTAGTTTTCTATTTTACAACACAAGTTTGGAGTTTTTTGAAAACTGAGGCTTCGCTGAGTGCCAATCTGTTGGACTATACAGTAGTCTCTGGTAAAAGTTACTAGCTAAATGCAGATACGTCTTTTTTCAAGCAGACCTTTCAAATAGTAGATTTGTTGTGTTGTTTCAAACGTGTTAGTAAAGTAAAGTAGAATATAATTAATCTTTGGCCTCTGAAACACAACTAAATATTCATGTATATTTTGGAAAGCAACATTCAACACAATTGTATTTAGATAATGACAAAAGCACTATAAATTGTATTTGCATAGTTAACAGTTTCACAATTTGGCTTACATCATTTGATTTTTACAATAACATCGGTCTCTCCTTTTAAATCTAAGCATTGCTCACTTACAAGCTACAGTGACTACACTGAATAGCTTTAGTATTAGAGGGTAACTGCAGAGAAATTGTGGAGCTGCTGCCAGGAAAATGTTCTCTCCGTGTCCCTTCCACACACTCACAAACACACATTAAAAAGAATATAAAAATTGTATTTTTATGCTCTGGATATCTTGGCTGTCAGACAAATAACCACTGGCAAAAAAAAAACTGGCTTAGTGCCAAGAACCAAAGTGAAGTTTGGCAGAAAAATATCTCTTAAGGACTAAAGAAAAGCTTTGTCACAAGTATTTCGATGCACGCTAAACTTAGTCAGTATTGACAGCTCATGCATAGAAGTAGATCAAAACTCCTCAGTGTCAATCAAATCGTTTTTTGGGAGTATCATCAGAGATTTAGAGGGGGGCATGATGCTGACTAGCACTATTATTAACATCCAAATGCGAAAACTGTGTCTGAAACCCAGCTATCCATTCAAATCAAAATGCTCTATAGTCCAATTTAAATGCACCTTCAAATTGTCAGCATAATCATTTCTGAAATGAATTGTTTACTGTATTCTACTGGTAGCTTCATTACTGATATAGTTGTATGTCATTTTATTGCTTATTTCATAGTCTTATATGTTTTTGATCTACTGAAGTTCCAATACTTTTACTGCTGCAACAATCACATTTTTCCACCAGGGATCAATACTATTTCTCATCTTATTTACGTATATTACCTCTTAAGTTTCTCCCAACAGATACTGACGTTTGAGGTGGATATTATTTTCTCACACAACATCTCAAACCTTCAATAAAACCCACCCTATAAACGGTTCAGTGTCAAAATGACAAATGATCTTTTCATATAAAAACAACATCTATTATTCTGCAAAAGTGTAAATAGTATTATAGTATATATTATAGTACAATAACTTATGTTGTCTTTCAATTTCTGGTCAATTGATTTAACATTTATTTTATTCTCATTTAATAATGACTTTGTTCTTGTAATGTTATTTTTCTCTTAATATTGCCACCTTGCAGAAACAATCTAATAATGTATCATTGATGTAAATAACAAAAGACACAAGAAGGGTAGAGCATATTCAAATATACACACAATATATCCACAAGAATGCATGCAATTAAAGGTGTGAGGCTCAAAAGTCCCGGACCCCCGTCTTTACATGTCCCCCAAACGTTAAACAGAACTCCTTTACCAGATATTTTCAAAAGACATATGTATATATATTTTATTCTTTTATTACAAATGATACATATTTGTAGACATCAGTATACAGATAGAGTCAGTAATCAGACCATGAGCAGCACACACATGGATATACAGGAGGTTAACACTATGTTCCAAACACATACTGTATTGGATGTCATTAAGCTCTACAGGTGTTCACATAATTGTCCTCCTCCCCTGTGTGCTGCGTACATATTCTTGTATATTACAGTGAACGCGCATATTTTTTAATTAGGTGGACATGTTACCCTGGGCAGAAAATGTGCTTTAAAAAATGGCATACGTTCTGTTTGGTTAAGTAAAAATAACATGCAGCAAAAAATGTGCTTACAAACTCACTGCAAATGTATAGTCATTGATTTGACATGGTGAGGTGAGGGGGATACATACATGGGAATACATTTCACATTTATTTTTAGTCTACATACAGATCCAACCAAGTATAATGAAAAATAAACCTTATTAGATGTATATCTATTTAAAAAAAATGATTTAGTACATACTAATGCTACAAAGGTAAACTATAATATCGTATCCATCTAAGGGTTTCACAAATTCTCTCTGGCTTTCATCCTGTGCCTCTTTTATTCTTTCCGGGGGATGAGAGCAGGCATTACACAATTACACATATCTGTATAGGGTCATGATCAAGAGCTTGCACTTTCACTATCTGCAGTTGCTAAGGCAACCCATTCTCAGTCCCTTGTGAACCATTCACACTCAGGAGCAGAAACACAGTGTCAGTCACAGCCAACAGAGGGCGCTCACTTCTTTCAGTAGGCAGGTTTGGAAAAGGTGTGCCACTCTATTGTTTCAATGTTTGGGAATTATTTATAAAACCATTGATAGTCAGGCACATTTTTGGTCATAAAGATCTTAATTTGAATTTTGACTTCTTCTACTTCTATGGAGTCAGTAAACAGCTTTATTTCCTATCAAAAGGTTATATTTGATTTACTCTTTGCATTGTGGATCATTTCTGTATTCCTCAGATTGCAAAGCCTTCCTTGGAAATGTTGTGGTTTTCGGCTTTATGAATAAATAACTGACTCGACGTGATGTGATTTATTCATTGATGCGTCTAAAGCATGATAGCTTATGTTCTCAGTGATGGTGGCTCTATCATTGGATGTATAGGGATAAAAAAGCGAGTGGCCTCCTGCACAGATTATGTGTGTGTCAGTTAGCCACAGAGTGTCTGCATGCTTGAGCGGGCTTGTGGATGCAGTTAAAGAGGATAGTGGTAGACTCGCTGGCATTCTTACAATCTTCATATTACAACTTTTTTTTTGTAAAACAGGTCAAGGGAAATGATTAATGTATGGAAGTGTTTCTGGTATCATAGTGGCTGCTGATGAGGGGCTATTTGTAAGAGGAGTGGAGCTAAATAATTCAATAAACAGTGGCTGAGCAGGCCATGGCATTCAGAGAAAAATTACACATCAAGCCAGTGGGGCCGGATAATCTAATTTAGCCGCTGAGTATCAACTCTATGATTAGGTGACAGTCGGATTCAAAGGCAGTTTAAGTTAAAAGGTACATTAGTTTAGGTTCAGAGAACAATGTGGCCTGTCGAAGGGCCCAGTAGATGTGTGGCTGCACAGCATGATGCCTATCAACTATATTACATGAATACTGCACTTTCACACATCCATGATCCATAATGGCAGAATTGTTGTGTGTACAAATGTAATCTAAACTCTATAACTGCTAATCTTTCTGTGGTCACTGCAAGCTGGATAGCATAGATAGCACGAGCTGTTTGCGTTGGCTCTTTAGTTCAAACGTAGCCTAAATGTTACATTAATATGGGTTTAATCAAGAAGAGATTTCCCCCCAGCAGTCCCAACTACAAGGTGTAACTGTTACTAGCCAATGGAACTAAGAGACAAAACGAATGTTAGCATGCTAATATCTGACCTGTTTACCGTGATTAAAAGAAATAACAAATACATACTGATAATCGTGACATGACACTTAATTAATTTAATTATATTTCCAGAAAAATAACACACAATACTTCAAATTAAAAAATAATATGTCAAGTTTTGCCGAATGTCTTCCAACGTTAGCTAGGTTAGCATAATGAACACTCATTATGCTAACCTAGCCAATACATACATATTTCTAAGTATAGGCATAAAGTATTGTTCAAACAATTGGCTTTTAGTGTAAGGTTTTGTATTTTCCCCTAAAACCTTTACTTTTGAAAAGCTATGTCACAGCGTCCCTGAATGTTGATGCTGCAAGTAAACAAGTTTACTGATCCTCTAGAAACCAATTTACACATTCAATATTTTGAAAAGTATTACCTAGCTGAGACATTTAATACATTTGAATGCTGAAAGTAAATGTATTCAGTCGCTAGTTTAAAGAGTGAGTTTTTTGGATGAGATTTTTCATTTTATGATAGTAGCAGACAAACAGAGCAATAACAACCAGACTCCCAAAGGAAAATAAGCAAGGAAAGTTGACCCTAATGTTGAATCTCTTAATGTGGCAATTCCTTGCGAAGATGTAGCCAACACACAACTAAAGGCTATGCAGCAGCTGGAGTTTGTTTAACCGAAGCCTGCAAAGATATTGGCAACATGAACCTTTCCAGCACCCTTTTCTCTCCAGGTAAATATGCACATTAATGACTAACTAAGCAGGAGATTGTGTTGTTGTGCCCAGGGCCAGAATAG